TTTGACCTTTTAAAACGAGTTTGTTAGCCCAATCAGTCACACACTCTTAGTGTGTTACTAAATTTGAATTCTAGCTAGGATTACGTTAACTGTGCACGAATACACAGCGCTCGAGTTTTGTCCAGTAAAGGGCCACAGAAAGCCACTAACGTTTTCGTAATACTTAAATTCGGGCTTCCTATAGTCTAATTCAACAGATTATAAACGGATATATAATTCATGTTACAGGACAATCAAGCCATTTAGCCGCAAGTCGCCGTCGAGTGCAGAACACAAACTTTTAAAACACTACAAAACTTCATTTTTCTTAGTTCAACCTTAGTTCAAAGCATTTAAGTTTAGCCCAGAAAAAAACTTTAATCACTTGCTACCCTTGTCTCAAAGAATATGGAGGAAAATTCAGCAACAAATGGTAAATCTATTTGTGATATCTGTAAAAAAACCTTCAGTGGAAAGAATAACCTTGATAAGCATATGAAAACAGTGCATAGTGGTAAAACGTATAACTGTGAAAGATGTGGAGAGACATTCAACCGATCAGATAACTTAAAGCGTCATCAAAAGAAACATTCACAAGAAAAACAGCATGAATGTCAGCACTGTACTAGAAAATTCTACAGAAAAGACAAATTAGAGGAGCATGAAAATATTTGTAGAAAGAAGTGCTCAGAGAATGATGCAAAGAGAGGTAGTAAAGAAAAGGATGAGGATGAACCACCTAAAAAACGTGAGAGGTTGGAGGATCAAGAAGCACTCCAGGATGAACCATGTGATGATTCAACATCAGCTATAGAAGGATCACTCAAAGTATTTCATTATAAGCCTCGTGTCAAGGAGCAGTATGACATGCAACTTACTTTAAAGGGAAAAAAGGCCCCGATCAACAAACAACTGAACAAACAGCTCACCATGAAAAAAGGCATCAAGTGGTATATCAGCGTGCAAGCTAAACTCGTKAAAACCAACAGCGAAGGCGAAGTAGTGACCTCTGAGCCGCACTTTAGAAGCTGCTGTAATACTACGGTAAATTCTAATGAAATTGTAAAGCAGTTAAATGAAGCTAACGAAAAAATCACAAAAGCATTGGCGACCTATCAAAGAGAAGGAAGTGGTTGGCTACTATCAAAAATCCTACATGTCCACCTACACATAGCGCAATACACACCAATCAAAGGATTCAGCTACCTCCCTCTACCTAAGAAGCTCAAAGATAAGAAAGCCATTTTAAACATTCAAAATAACGACAACCAGTGCTTCAAATGGTGCATTTTGGCTGCTCTACACCCTGTTAACCGACAAGATCACCCTCACCGAGTTCAACACTATCTGCCCTATGAAAATGAAGTGAGCTGTGTAGGAATAGAATTCCCTGTTACTGTTGCTAAAATCCCTAAATTTGAAAAACAGAATGGCATTGCTGTTAACGTCTTCGGGTTTGAAGATGGAACGCTTTTCCCTGTGTATATTACTGAGCACAGATTCGAAACCCATGTAAACCTACTTCTCTATTCTCAAGGTCTGCAAAGTCACTATTGTCTAATTCGAAATCTAGACCGATTGCTTTCTGATCAGAGCAGGCATAATGGAAC